CTTGACCTCGATGGAAGCCTGCTCGGGGCCGTCCTGCAGGGCCTGCTTCTTCTCCTTGTCGTTCAGGTTGTACCCGGCCTGCATCGTCTCCTTGTGACGAGTTGTGTCCGTTGTCGTAGTCATGTTCGTTTTGCCGTAGTGGTAGCGACGTTCCCCGGCTTTTGCAAGGGCTCGCTCACGAGGATCCTCTTGGTTCCATTCCTCATCCCAGGGGATTTCCTCAAGGATGGACTCCCAAAGCTTCTTCTGCTCGGGGACCTGAGGTTCAGGTTCTCCTGTTCGGCGATCTCCCAACCTCGGCTAAGCGAGCATGCCCCATTCTCTAAAAGAAAGCGATGAAAACGACTACATATATAGCTATAGATGGAGATAAAGACATATAGAGACTTATGGAAACACATAGCAGGTTGGATTCCTTTGGAACCCACACCTCAACCCTTTCATCCTCGATCTTGTCTAAAGCCAGGGGAGCACATGGTTTTCTAGTTGATGCTGGAAGAAAACTGGCAACCAGAACCTGGCCTTGGATCCCAAAGGAGGCTGCAAAGAAGTTGCCTTGCAACCTCCTTATAATTGCCAAGACTTACTTAGCCTCTTTCCTGATCGCCGAATCAATCTGTTGGGCGGCTTTCTTGCGAAGTTTTCTTAGGAGTTCCGGAGAACTCCTGCCACCGACTTTGAATGACTGGACGTATGTGGATATATATATATATACATATGTATATATATATATATAAATATATGTATATATATATATATATATGTATATGCACACAAATAGATAGGGTTGTGTCTGCATGTAGATGTATGTATTTGAAACAAAACCATTGTTTGCAAGGCCCAGGCACGAGACAAGAACCCCCCCACCTTGCTGGCAGTGGTCGCCTTGTCGTTCTCCAAGGACTGGATCTTCTCGGCCCACATTTTGCCTGTCTTGTCTTGTTCCCACGACGACAGCATCGCCATCCTTTGCTCGGTGGCATTCCTTGGAAGTTGGCAGTAGTCCTCGTAGAACTTTGCCTTGGATCGCAGCTTGGTGGCTTCCTCCGCGCTGACAGGTGCCTTTCCGCTTTCGTGATCCTGCAACTTCTTCAATGCATTCTTGCATTGGGTGACAAGGTTGCTGAGTCTCCCCTTCACGGGGTCCTTTGCACATGGCTTCTCAGAGGACTGTCCCTCTTCACCAGCCGGCTCTTTCTTGATCGCGACGGGTGCTGGCTGCGGCTTTGATTTCGCTGCCGTGGCCTTAGCTTTGGCCGGAGGCTTCGCCTTGGCCTTGGGCCCGGTTTTGGCCTTAGCCTTTGCCGTCTGTCGGTGAACCCCCATGACCAAAGCGGTCAAGGGCAGGAGGCTCGCCATGAGCATTGCGAGCATCCTCAGAAAGTTGGAAGCGACAAGGGAGCTTACTTCAAGCAAGGCCTCGTGAGCACTGGGAAGTCGGACGGCGAGCTCCTGAACATGCCTGTGAATTGCACTTGCATGCACGGCAAGCTCTTTTGTGTCCATCGAATGTATACATGCCATGGATATGACATCTTGCCCTCTAGCCCCGGCGACTCTTGCGGAAGCATTGGGTGCAACTGTGGTATTTGTGCGGCTCCACCCCTCGAGTGCACCATTGCTTCCTGCACTGGTGACACATCTGTGGACACGGATCGTCAGCATTGGGTGGGGGCGGTTGGGTTTGGGGAGGAGGATTAAGCGGCTGTCTTGAGCCATCTATCTCCAACAACAATCGCCCGATAAGTGCCCTTTGCTCGGCGGTGAGACCCATCAGGAGAGCTCGAAATCCAGACTCCTCTGGCATCACGACCGTCGTGCTGGTCCTGGCCGATCCAGAGCGTAGATTTGAGGTTTTCAAGGCCATTTAACTTCATTTAACTTGGCATTTAACTTAGCTGCTTAATAAGCACTTGCAAAGAGGATGGAGTTAAATGCAAGTTAAATGGAGTTAAATCCCTGACTCCCCCAAAAAGACTCAAGCTCACCGGGCAAAAAGCGCCTGGTCGAAGATTCTCCGGACATCGGCGTTGCAACCTCGGCAGCAGGCAGGCTTGGCCGTACATATTGGTTCCTTATCCGGGTACCCGTTCTACATATATAGATGCACACACACTTTGGATTTCACGGAAACATGCAAACCCAACGTGAAATTTAAATCTCCTCGAGGATCCAGGAGACTAGGAGGTCTGCCTCCTAGTAAGCAAGCACTTACACATTGTTTCCATGTGATGTAATTAACATATAGTACATTTACAACTCAAGAGACTACCCATGACTATCTATCTATTTTGAGATATATATATATATAGCTCTTGTGTAGGAGACTCCCGGGCGAGCCTCCTTTCCAGACCTGTGGGGGATCCGTGTACCTGCATGCACAAGGCGTGCAGAAGACTCCTGCCTATAGGAGTTGCATGCTTTGCACTCCTGCTGCTAGCAAAAATAGGAGTCTTTTGCCGCTCCGGCTCATAGCATGAGGTCGATCGGTCGGGTCCTCAGATAGTGCTGCACACTAGGAGCTCGTTGTTTCCACGAACTCCTCCCGTGAAAGGCACTACACGGACCTCCTCCCGTGAAAGGCACTACACGGTGATCATGGCAGGCAGGCTTGGCATTGCCCCGCTCCTCCGTCGCCCAGGAGGAGCCTCCTCCTCCTCCTCCTCGTGGTCCTGCTCTTCTTGTGTGGCTTTCTTGCCTTCCGGGAACCACTCCTTCCACTTCTTGTTGCCTCCATACGGTTTGCCCACCACGTCTTCCTCTTGAGGCCTCAGCAAACATGCATGCATTAATTAGATGTATGAACCTGTACATGCATGTATGTGCATACATGGACATCTACATTTGCATAGTGGACATGCATGTACATGGTAAAGAAAGATCCACCGAGCCGCCTTTGTTTTTCTTCTTCCGGTTGACATACCACTGCATGTCCTCCTTGGACACCGTCTGCCCGCCCCATAGCTTGCAATCATTAAGATCGCGGTCGGTGTCCACGTACGACAACTTGGCTGCTTAATAGGATAAACCAACCATGAGAAACAAATAACAGCCAACTCTGAATCACTCCGATCGAGAAACTCTGCAGCTTTCATTCAAACAGACGCCTTTTCGCCAGTAACTGCTGGTTTTGCAAAAGTTGCAAAAGCGGAGAACTGCAGCATGATCAGGGGTAGCCGTGGCAGGGGGCGGTGTTGGAGGGAAGGGAGGAGGTGCTGGAACTCCTCCTGGGGATCCCGAGGAGTGGCCAGGCACTCCTGAGTGGGCCGGCACTGGGGACGGTGGGGGCGGCACGGATCCTGGCGGGGGGTGGGGCGACACGGCTGCTGCTCCCCCGTGTTGGCTGAGGTTAAGGCTTTCCACAGCCGTCGACAGTCTGTTGACTGCCGACAAGATCTCGCTTTCCTTGCCCCCGGCGTTGCCCATCCTTGACAATAACACACCGAAAATGAGCAATGACACCCTTGCAAAAGGAGCTCGAGCTGAAAATGATTGCAGCATGCAAGCTCCTAGGATGCATGTGCTTGCCTGCGGAAGCCACTGCATGCAGCCTAGGAGGACACTCTATATATATATATAGTGTCCTCTAGCTTACATAACCCTGAAACATGAAACCTGAAAGTGAAATCCAACCTAAACGGGATAGGAGGACTATAGTCCTCCTATCCTTGAAACATGAAACCTGAAACTGAAATCCAACCTAAACATCACAGGAGGACTTTACTCCTCCTATCCCTGAAACATGAAACCTCAAACTGCAACCGAATCCTGAAACATCAAAGCTGAAACTGAAATTTAACCCTGCAACATGAAACCTCAAACTGAAACCATTCTGAGAAAGACCCTCCGAAACTGGAAGCTCTCATGCACTTCGCAAACAATGGGGGGGGCACCAGCCGGAAGTGAAGCCGCTTGTGGAAGAGATCTGGCCGTGCCTGCAGCGGGTCATGCAGATCATGACTGCATCCTCTTCTGAAGCTCCAAAGGATGCATATATATATATATACATACTATATATGAAATTATATATATATATCTAGATAAAGATATTATTATTATTATAATATATATATATATACATATTTCATAAACAGGAGGACATACAGCCAGCTTCGGCGCTTTCGTCGCTCCTACAGCAGACAATTAAGAAACCTCAAAATTACTTACGTTGCCAACCCAAGCTACAGAACTGTATAAGAACAATCCTGCACGTGCAACTGAACAGGAACACTGGCATTGGGCACCGGCCGGAGAAGACCCGGAAGAGAAGCACCTTGTCCAGGAGGTCGACGGCAGTGCCTGCAGAGACGAAACATGCATTACACATAAATGACATGTAGACACGACAGCAGGACGTACCTAGGACTGAAACCAGCATGCATGCACTGATAAACCTCCTGCCTTGCCTCGCACCTTATTTCATAGGGCTCCATACGCATGCTGCTTCCAGGGGCCTACTGCTTCGATTCAGGGTGCTGCTTGGAATGTGCTATTAGGGTTTGACATTGGGAGGAGTGCTGCATGGTTGTTCTGATTGAGTCACTGTAAACTCTGCAAATCTGCGGGTTGAAAAGCAATGCTCAGTGCTCCACTATCTGTCAAAAGACAGGGTCGACTGGCGGGAGAATCTCCCAATGCAAGTAGGCCCTCAGTCTCATATCGGACACGAAGAATGTTTTTTTTCACTCACGTTTCCGCTTGTTCGAGGGCTTCTGGTTTTTTGCATCTGTCACCCACTGATGCACCATGTACCATGCCTGCAGCTGCGTTCTTTCGCGGGCTACTTGCATCGTGATGGATGACAAAGCCGGATTCATCTGATCGGCCGGCAGAGCTGCATTGTAAGATGCAGATGTAGAGGCCCTGAGCTGAACAAACCGATGTTCAACACAAAATGGAAGGCTGAGAGAGAATGAAACATCAGATAAGAAGAAATATCTGCACTAATTGGAACTTCCACTTGCAACTACCACCTACTGACTCCACTGCAGCGAGGTTACTTGTTCTGATGAAGCAAGCCGGCCGGCAGCCGTGCTTGGAAATGCGGCAGCGTCTTTGTGCGATGTTGCACGTGGGTAACCACGACATCGGATGGCATGGGGAATTTGTCCTTCAGGAACTGCGGGATCGGCACGGCATTCGAAATGCTCTTTCTGCTCTCCCTGTCGTGCTCTGCATTCACCACTGGAACCTCCGATTCGGCATGTGGCTGCTGAACTTGGGCATTGTCCTGTACGTGGCAGGAGTCAATTCGGGGGAGGGACGAAAGGATGCGCCCCATGGATTTTGTTTTTTTTGTGATTGGGAATGTGCAGCAACCAAAGCCAACTTCCGAAAAGACACATCAACCCATTCGGCTTTGTTAGTTGCTTACACCCAATGTGATCTGGACATGGGTGCAGGCTTCTGAGCACTGTACAGACTTGGGACCAGGAATGCTTTAGGGTGCATGGTTGAGAAAAATAGTCCTGATTGGCATGGGGAGCGGCCTGCTCCATTTCCCGGACGACAGCAGCTGCAGCCATCATCACTTCGTCGCTCTCATCCGGCATCATCTCCTGTTTGGGCATTGCTAGAGGAGGCAGCGACTCTGCATTATAACTACCTCGACAGCAATGTCGGTCCTCTTCTCCCTCGCCCTGTTCTTTGTCTTCGTCGTCGCCGTCGTCCTCGGTCTTTTTCCTTCGCCTCTTGTCATCCATGCTCTGCAGGAGGGCCAAGATTTCGAGCAGTTTCACCTCAGGAATTGCATCCTTCACTGATGGACTAGCCATCAGCGCCTTGATCTTGGCACTCTTTGTGGCATTCTTACGGCAGGTGATGTCGTGGATCTTCAGCATCTTGGACAGAGAGTCGTTGGTGACTTTGACGATCTCGCCAGTCAGGATCAAGTCCAGCAAAAGGCTTCGCCCTGCCACACCTCGCCGAAGGATGCAGCAGCTTCCAATCTTCGCGGCAAGAGAGCCGCCCAGCCAATGCGTGGTGTACTGGAAGACTTGAACCTGCAATCTGTTCTGGTCATGTGGAATTTAGGTGGAAGTGCTTCTCTTCTAGTGATGGACACGAACAATCGCACAAAGCCGGCACCCAGCAATCCTTCTCGAAGTCAAGCAAAGTCTCCCGGATAATGGGCCTTGCTGATTAGGTGCAAATCGGGAACTGGAGGCAGGTTTTCTCTGGAAGTCTGACTGATTAGCACTTGCTGTTAGGTTGCTTCTTGGCACTGAAGATGAGTGCCTTCACATGATCAGCACCACTCAGCGGATCTTCGATCTTCATGCCGCGGCCCTCGGAAGCCACTGCGGTTTCATCCACTGTCTCGGGCGGCAATGGGCCCACGAAAAACATGTGAACCTCCACCATCTGCAAAGCCTCATTTCTGATACGAAAGTTCTATACAGTAAGAATCAACGGAATTCATCTTATAGGTTTGCTTTCTTGAAGCCAAGTTGCGTAGAGGAGGCCGGGCGTGCTGCCCAGTGTCAGGAACCACTGGCCATCAACAAGCAAGAGGCGTCCTGCAGCAAACAGGTTGGGCACCCACATCTTGGATGCCATTTCTTCGATGCTGACACCGCTCCTTGGGATGTGCCAGGCTCTATGCTTGCTCCAGGTCAATTAAATTGGGATGTGCAGAAGCATCCGAGCACATGCCGAGCATCTTCTTGGCCAACAGAAAAGCTCGCATGTGATTGAGGTTCACTCGCGTGTGGGCATGAGCGGAGGTGCTGCCGAACTTCTTCAGGATGTCGTCAACTCGGAAATGCGGACCTTGGAAAATCGCTGCTCAAATTCTGAGTCCTATACTGTTCGGCATGCGTAGGGTTAGTCTGCAAACCAGAATGTGTCTATCAACGGTGACCGCTTCATATCATTTAGGCTTTTCTTGGCACGTGCATTACAGGAAGTCTGTGTTCAGGCTGCATTGTCCCTAGCAGGCGAAAGAAGGCTAACGTTACGTTGCTCTAGCTTTGCTTTTGCTCTCTCACAGCTGCACTGTGTTGTCTTTGCTAACTAGAGTGTTGTTTATTTTCCACAGCTGTTTCCTGCCTGGTTTTCTCTGCGTGTTTTTGCTTGTCTTTTCCTGTGAGCATCTGCTGCTCTCTTTTCTCCATGTAGCTACATCTCCTTATCTTTTTTTTCTTCTCTCTCTCTGTCTCTCTCTCTCTCTCTCTCTCTCTCTCTCGCTCTCTTGCGCTCTGCACGTTTTGACTGCTCCGTGGCTTTGTATCTCTTTCTCCGTGGAACAGGGGTGTCGTTCAATACAACAGCATTCGCTTGCCACACTGCCTCTCTCAAAATACATTGTACTGTGCAGAACATGGGTGAGCCGAGATGCTGTTGATGTAAGAGTCAGCCCTCCAAACATTCGGCTTTATGGCCCTGATCTCGTTTCCCTCGAAATCTTCCGGAGAGAGAGTGATTGCTCTGGCAGTCTTCTCGCCTTGGCAGACCTTGTTTGCAACGGCGCGAATGCCGAGGCACTGAACATTGGGCACACTGGAACAGCTGGCTTTTGTGGCTCGCTTGATGCTGTCCTCCATGTGGTTGAAGCATTGTTCAACGTTGCAGGAACTGCTTAGGCGTGGGTACCAGGCCCTGAGAAGGGCCTGCGTGGTTGAGTTGAGGACCCAGCCCTCTTTTTCGAGGCAACTCATGACCTCTCTGTAGTACACGAAGCGTGTGTGGGGACAGGAAGATCGCATCATGTGATGAAGCTTGAGGCTGTTCTCAGCCTCGACCACCAAATTCCATTCCAACCGCAAGTTCTGCAAGATACTCTTCTTCAGATCGTCCTCTGCAGAGCCTCCATCACACTCTGCCAGCAAGGCGGCTGCTTGGTGCGGGGAGCTTTGAAGATACACTTTGTACTGTCTAAGTTCCATCAAAGCGCAAAGCCCTGCTTGCATATGATCGAACAAGAGCTTCTCTTGCTCTGCGGATCGTCGCTTTTGCACCTCCAGCACCTTGAATGCCGTGGCTGCAAGCATTAAGCATGGTGGCCTCAGGCAACCCTAGCACCCCGGCAAAGAAGGACAAGCAGAGTAAATGTGCCTTCAAACATTCGAGAAAACAGGTTTAGATTGTTTTTTTCGTCTTGTGCTGAGTGTTCGGGAGGCAAGGATTATAGGCCTGATTTCTAGATGTAGCACTAAACGAACAAAAGAACTACCCACACATCATGTTCGCGGTTAGGCCGCGAGTCAGACCTGTAGGGTTTAACCGTCTTCAACCAACTTTTGACTCAGTAAACAGGGGCAACTATTCGCATCGTAATTGCGAGCGGCTATTCCGCTTTGAATGGCACAACGTCGCGGTTTAGCCGCGACGTGAGATTGTGCCTAAAAAAGCCGAGCATCCGTGAGTAGGCCCTGAGTGATTAGAACGGTTCTGGCTCATGTTGCGAGCTTTTTCGTTATTGTTCAGCCATGAACCCACACCGTTTGGAATGGCTAGATGAGTGCTTGGACTGAACCCTCCTCTGAAACTGATGATTGCTTCTGCAAAATCAGCCACTAGAAGCCAGCACCATGAGCAATGAGCTGAGCTGGGTCAGGGCAGGTGTGAGGTTTTGTGGGGCCCGGAACCCAGAAACTTGGCTCAAAATCAAGCACTACCCACTAGATCCGGTCAGACAAATTCCTAAGAGGAGGTGTTCTACCTAAGCCCAATTCCTGTCTAATTGACACAACAACATGTTTGCCGAGTTAGCCAGGTTGGTGCGTAGCCTATAACTACGACGGTCTGCCGAATTCGGCTGGCCATCGTGGTTCTAGGCTACACGGCCTCCGGCCTGCCGCTAAGAAGTTTCCACCGAACCTCCCTTGAACTTCCTCTGAGCACCGCCTAGGCTAGTGGAAGACTGCAGGGCTGCACAAGAGCCGTTTGGTGGAAGTTTGAGGCCTGTTGAGAGGCAGGTTGCTGGAAGTTTGCTGGTTCTGGCGAAGCAGATGGATTACTTCTCGACAGGCAAAGGTATAAACACAGACAAACGGACCAACACACCCTTATATGACCTGAAAACAGATGATAACATAGCTTCCATATGTCTTTTGGCAATTGCCTAAACCCTTAAACCCTAAACTTCAAAAAAAGATTGTAGCTTCCATAGGTCTTTTGCCACATTCCCCAAACCCGAAACCTGAAAAAAGATTGTATCTTCCGTAGGTCTTTTGGCAAGTTTTCCAAACCCCAAACCTGTTAAAAAGGCTTTCAACTTCCATAGGTCTTTCGCCAAATTCCCCAAGCCTAAGTCTGAAAACGATTGTAACTTCCATAGGTCTTTTGCCAACTCGCAAATTCCCTAGCCTTCCCAGGCGTGGCAGAAACACGACAACGAACCTTTGAAACACCCCACATACAAACTACACACAGACACACACTTTTATACTCTTAGACGACACACAATAACAAGAGCAAAAACAAACATGCATCAGTTTGTTCCTGTTCAAAGCAAATATGGAGGGGAAGTTTGATGGATGTTTGGCGGCTGGGTGCCCGAAGTCTGACGGAAGTTGGGTGTGGCGGCTTGGCGGCAGTTTGGTTGAATTTTAGTGTTTTGTGGTTTGCCCAAATTGTCAGACCCTCACTACATCTGCTACTCACGATCTGACTAATTCGGCAGTTCATGCCTTCACCCTTTTGTCACAACCGGTTGCTGAAATCTGTCTAAACGAGTTGACCAAATTATATAGAAATAGATCTATCTTTAAAGCAAACGATGTCCAAGCAATTTGACTAACCGGGTCGATTGGGTACAAGCGAGCACCATGAGAATCAGCTGTGTCAGGGCGGCTGTCATTTTTTGGGCCTCCCAGTAAGTTGGCTCAAAACAGCCATCACAAGCGAGCTGCCCCCCCCCATTCCCGAGCATCGGCAGCCTTTATTTGCACTTGAGGATTTAAAGCCTTAGAGTTTAGAGGTTTGTAAAGAAGCTAGAGCAATATTCTGGAGAACTACTAGACTTGTGGCTACTTAGCCACTCTTATTCTTCATCAGCAATGTCGTCTGTTTAGGAGACAGTTCGACTTCCTGCTTACTTAGTCTTTTTTTCTCCAGACACACCTAGCCCATGTTGCACGTGGAAAGTGGGATCCGAGCGGCTGTGCGACCCTCGCTGTCCTGGGTGATGCCAAGATCAAAAGAGATGCCCAGGCTCTCCGCAGCAATGTCCCCAAAGGTGACTCTCATGAGCTTCTCGTACTTCAAGTCGAACTGCGGGCCACAGACAAACAGTGTCTGCTTCTGCAAAGCATCAAGCTCTTTGGAGTGCCGCTCCTGAGTGCTTCTGTGTCCAAGCAAGAGCCACATGTGAACCGTTCGACTTATGACAGCTGCAGCATAGATACCAGCCAGAGACACGTGTCCGTGAAGGGCTCGGACATGAAGGAGACGCTTTTGAACAGCGCGGCGGCGGTTTCATCCAACAATGCCTGCATGCAACCGAGACTCAAGCAGACACCTGTAAGAAAGTCTGTCCCCTGGCCTTGAGGCACAAGTCCACAATTTTGTCGTACATCCCCGTGGCCGTCTTTGTTTTCTCGGCTGCAGCCATTGCGTATGGGTTTTTTCCTTCCTGACAGGTTTCCCAGTCACAACAGCAGAGTGCTGGAGCAAAAATCTCTACTGCGCACAAAGAGCTTGCCCGCTGGGTCCCCTACTTCAAGGCATGCCCACATCACCACCAGCAATTGGGCAGAATAGTAGCGTCGGAAGTTTTGACTGCAGAACCCCCAGCTGCACCACCTCCCTTGCTCGTGGGAGGAACCTTCTCTCCTTGCAAGTAGACCCAATGGAACGTCTTGCGGCATAGACTGGGGCAAAGCTGGTCCTGCTCAGCTTCTGCAGCACCTCGACCACACGGGCGAAGTCGAGGCCAGCATCCTCCGTAGGGGCCCAGCCCTGCCTTTGTGTGCAAATGCAACTCCGGATATGCTATTCTATGGATTTTACTTATGTTGCCCGGTCAGGCAAGGCTACTCTTGCAAGATGTGTTCACTGAACATCTGCATCAAGACGTCGCCGGCGTGGGCCTTGCACGTATTGCGTTCAGAAATAACCAAGCAACAACTATCACTCGCGGTCTACAGTGGTCCAAGCATAACATAAAATTGGGCAGCCAGGATGCGATCTGCAGGTATCTCCTGCCGGCCTCTTTCCATGTGTTCCCAACTGCATGCGTTGCCCAAGGTGATTTCTTGGCGCTCATAAGCCAGCTTGTCAGCATCTGCATGCCTCAATATAAATCTCGAGATTTTCCTTTAACTGGAAAGTCACACCACTTGCTATCGGGACTCGCCGCACTCCAGGTGTGGCGTTCAGGAAGCGGAGGAAGTGGGTCTGCAGCTTGTGCCTGAGCCACGACTTCTCATGCGGTTCGAACCAGCGACAGAAATTGCAGCTCTTGCCTCTGCAAGTGCCTGCTGAGCCGAGCGGCGTTTCGTCTCTGCAGAAACCGACCGGCAGGTCGAGAGAAGCCAGAAACTGCCAGGCACAGAAGAGAGGTCCGCCCTCGTCTGGGTGCAGCGTTACCCGGACCCCCCAGTCCGCTCCGGACTCCAGGTCCGGCGAGCAGACCCACTCGGCCAGGCCGCTTTCATGGTTGAAGATGAAAGCACGATTGCCGTGCATCTCTCGAGTCTCGTGCTTCTCGGCATCTGGTGCTCGGTAGGAGACAGGAAGGGGAGAAAGTTCCAGGTTCAGAAGGTCCAAGCTGTGTAGCAGAGCTCGCATGTGCTCTCTGCTTGCAAGCCGCTCCTGCCTGAGGCGACCAATGGCACGAGGCCTGGGCATTGGAGCTGGCTGGAGACATAACGTAAACTGTCACAGAGACGTCAAGCTTCAAAGCCAAGGCACATCTTGGACCCTGCTGAAGCATTCTGTTGGATCATCTTGTCAGCCAGAGACTGCAGTTCCTCCTCTTTTTTCCCGCTGGAAGCGGTTGAGGGCAGCAAGTCGGACAATCTCTGGACCGTCCAAGCGATCGCGTAGTGACCGATGCCTAAGATTGGCTGCCAGACCTAAGCTGCTCTGACTCGAAAGACATTGTCACACCGACACACAACAGACGCACAGACATTTGTGACCCTCGGATCAGACGAATTCATTGGCCCAGCGGCATCCATGCGAGCTTTTGGCGAAGCATCGCAGAGGAAGGCAATGCCTTTGACACTCTGCTTGCCGAGCTCCTGAGCTGCACAAAAAGGGCAGATTTCCAGAACATTCCGACTTTTCACAAGTTCTATTCTTTTCGCAATCACACTCATGGCAAGAAGCCTCGTGCACCACGGAGGCTGCCTTCCGGAGGTACCTGTAGCTGAAGTCACTGGACAGCCTGACGGGTACACGGGATCCATACAGAAGTCTTCTGCTGACTACTGCGGTGCCTGCCTGAGGTTGTGGCTTGGCACAAAGTCGGACAAGCCCAGCTCTTTGAGCGGCTGGTCACACGTCTCCGAAGTTGCGAAGCCTGTTTTTCTGCCCAAGAAACGATCCAGCTGCAGCACGTGCTTTGGCTTTGCCTCCTTCTTTAAGGAGCGACCGTCCCTTGGCTCCCCTCAGACTCATGAGACCCACCTGAAGACAATCCTGGGCATCAGCCAAGCTGCGCTTTGCAGGGATGGAACTCGTCCTTGCTGCTTGGCAAAGGCATTTCTTCGAGTAGTCGATCTCGGAGAAATTGTTCTGCTTTTTGCGCGAGACTGTGCAGAAGTCTTTTCTGCAGCCGGCCGGCAGGAACTCTGCCCTGCAGTTGAACGACACGGAAGACTGGGTGAGTTGGTGATTCAGTTTGCGTAACGCAGAGGCCGTTGCGTCGCACGTAGATTCTTTGAAACCCGCTCGCATGATGAAGCACACGGCTGTGGACAGTCGCACACCTGCCGCATCCATGTTTTTGTTGCACCCGACAATCAAAGCGGAAAGTCCGCCTGCGTTGAACTCCTGCTGGGCGGGAGAGGCAATCTTGAACTTCTGCCACCTGGGCCGATCAGTGAGCAGGCAAATCCCCGGGAAGCTGCAAGCTGCAACTTCTGCGGCCTGGGTAGCCAGTCCACAAATTTCAGAAAGCTCTCCCAGCATGCCAGATCCACGTCGTGTCCCACACATTTCAGCATGCCTCGGCATGCCCCATCCCATCCATCTGTGCACATTTCGTGAAGTGCGCATCTATCGACGAAGGCACTTCATTCCCCATTTTTGGCAGCAGCTGGTTCTGCCAAGCTCTGAAGCAGAAAACGTGCAGCCGAGCAGCAGGCCCCGATGTTGGGGAGAAGGCTGAGGTGCATGTCGGGTGGGCAGGCATTGGCAAGCAGAGTCTCGAGCGATTGCTGCGCAGCCTTCTGCAGAGCTTCGGAGCAAGACCGAATCTGCAGAACACAGGTTGCCTGGGCAGAGGGAAGTGATGCATGCCGGTCTGCTTGCCACAGGAAGCACGTATGAAAAGCAAGTCCTGCACACCGGGTTGCAGCGAACAGAGCTCCAGGCAGCGTGAAAGCATCACAAGGGAGTCTCACCTTCTGGGTGTCCACCTGTACTTGCTTGCCCTTGTAGCCTAGTTTCCGGATGATGTGCACATCTACGTTGACTCGCCAGGCCAGAGCAATCTCGCAAGTCAGATTGTCTCGCCTGGAACAGCTGTCAGGCAAGCGCACAGCAGGCAGGCTAGGCGTGCCAACGTGATGCAGACCAGGTGCAGTTTTGTGTACCAGTTCGTGAAAGCTTGCTTCCTTTGAAACAATCTCCAAACTGTGCTGGCCCTGAAGTACAGCTTGTACCCCTCGGAGCTGACATCTCCCTGAGCCTGGCAAAGATCACTTCAGTCTGCACATAGCATCCAAGCAAAAGCCATGATCTCAGCCCTGCAGGCCTTCAGTACTTCTAAAACACCAGCACTCCCGGTTTGGCACTGCAGGAAGACTGTCTTCGTGGCAGTGTAGTCCATCCGAGCTGTTGGCAGCTCCATCTCCGGCTCATTGTGCAGCACGATCTGAAGCTCCTGCAAACCTTCCTCTGCTGCGGGCAGCGCAGGTCGCAACGGCAAGCCTGCAGAAGCCGCCGCTTGACGGGACTCCTGCAGAAGTTCCTGAGCGGGGGGGGGACTCTGGGAGGCAGATGTCAAGCGAAAGAGAGACCCGCCTCCCACTCGGACATCTGGATTCGCACATCAGCTGCTAGGGGAAGATTTTTCTGAATCTTCTTGTCCACAAAAGCAATCTTGTGCAGAAACTGCTCTTTGGACAACCGAATCTCATTGTCCGTCTGGAGCCTCGGAAAGAGAGGCATTTTGAGAGCAATGCTTCTTCTGGCTAGGGAAGCAGCACTCTAAAGCGAAGCAGCACGCTAGTCTGGCACCGAGATGCTTGAGGTGCTCCTCCAGTCTCTTCTGGAGCCAGGATCGCATGTCCGCCTGCACAGGAGAGTGCTGCTTCGAGCTCTGCACAACAGGGTGCCGCTTCGCACGGCCAGAGTTCTGCATGAGAGCTGCGCTGCTGCCCACGTGCGCGCACGTGGCGGGAGTGGTAATGCTGAAGCAGAACGCTAGAGTGCCACGAAGCAGAACGTTAAAGTGAAGAGCCCTGTAGAGCTTTGGTTCGGTTTAGGATGTTAGTCGCATCCGGGTTCTGCTTCAGACCTGCGGCGCCGGGCACGTTCGCGCAGATGACCAGGAAAAATTCTCGAAGCAGAACGCGGAAATGCAAGCCCGGAGGGATGTCTCTGCAAGCAGAACGCTTAACCAAGCAGAACGCTGTTCCACAGCCCGGCTGTGACTCTGTCGCCTAGGTATCCAAGCAGAACGCTGACCTGACAAAACCCTGGGATCCCAGTCTCAATACTACTGCTGTACAGAAGTGAAGGGCCGAAGCGGCACGTTCATCTGGCCAAAGCCCGGGGCCACGGTTCCAATACTACTTTGTACTACAGAGGAAGGAACCCCAGACTGCCCGGACCCGGCCTTCGCGGAGGTTCGACCACTGTCACCATCGTCCCCACTCATTCAGCTGCTGCTCACACAGAGCTCGGCTGTCTTGAGTAATTCGTGCTTGCAAGGTACTCAAAGATGGAAACGTGAAGCACTGGAGCTCTGCAAGGCCCATCTCTGCTATTCTTGCTTGTTTCTTGCACATCTAAACGCATAGGAGCCTCGGGACTCAAAACCAGATAAGTCCGAGTCCAAGAGACATGCTGCAAGCTCAAGTTGCAACTGACTCAAAGAGAAGCGAGTTGCACAAGGCTCCAAGTACAGAGTTTGCTTTTTCGCTGCTTGCAAGACAGAGAACCTCGTGCGACAAAGTAGCGAAGCTCATCATGAATCCTTCACAAGAATGCCAAAGCACAGACATGAAGGAAGAAACGACTGAAGAAGATGGGTCCTTCGGCTAGGCAGCCTTTTCCTCCGCTGCACTCTTCTCACAGTGCTCCTCATAGCAAGGCAGCAAAACCCACTCCAGCACAAGAGAAGAAAGGCCACACGAAACACTGTCCTTCAACTTGGCAGGCCACTGCGTCACCGCTTTGCGACCCTTCAAAGTCAGGTTCCGGGCACAGGCCCTCGCCTTCTCGCCCAAGCTGTTCAAGAGCTGCCCTGTGCAATCACTTCACATGGCTCAGGAGGCTTCGTGCCGTCCCTCAGAAGTGCGACTCACAGACAGAAACAAGAGTTTCTGGCCTCCAGGAAGGTCCGAGAAGAGGTCCGAAGCTTCAGCCAAAGTAGTGATGTCTTCGCACAAAAGCAGGCGACGGCAATGGTCGGCATCTGTCCTGATGCCGCACATGACGAATTTCCAAAACAGCCACCCAATAGACCCGGTTAGACAAATTCCTGTCTAATAGGCAGGTGTTCTGCGTAAGCCCACGTCCTGTCCAATAGACAGAACAACATGTTTGCCGAATCAGTCAGATAGGTGCGTAGCCTATAACCACGATGGTCTGCCGAATTCGGCCGGCCATCGTGGTTATAGGCTACACGGCCTCAGCCGCAGTAGCGAGGAAGTTTCGACCGAGCTTCCTCCGAGAACGCCCAGACCAGTGGAACTTTGCAGGGCTGCACAAGAGCAGTTTGGTGGAAGTTTGAGGCCTGTCGAGAGGCAAGTTGCTGGAAGTTTGCTGCTTCTGACAAAGCAGATGGATTAGTTCTTGACAGGCAAAGGTGTAAAGACAGACAAACGGACCAAGACACCCGGAAGCACACCCTTCTATAAGCTCAAAACAGATCACAACTTCCATATGTCTTTTGCAAGTCCCTAAACCCTGAAGCCCTAAATTTTAAAAAAGATTTGAACTTCCATATGTCTTTTGCCACATTCCCCAAACCCTACACCTGAAAAAAGATTATAACTTCCATAGGTCTTTGGCCAAGTTGCCGAAGCCCTAATTCTGAGGAAGATTGTAACTTCCATAGGTCTTTTGCCAATTCTGAAATTCCGTAGCCTTCCCAGTCCTGACACAAACACCACAACGAACCTTTGAAACACCCCACAGACAAAGCAGACACACACACACACACACGCGCACACACACACACACACTTACTTATACTCGGAGACGACACGGAAAAGCAAGAGCAAAAACCAACATGCATCAAGTTTTGCCCGTTCAAGACAAATATGGAGGGGTTGTTTGATGAAAGTTTGGCTGCTGGATGGCGGAAGATTCATGGAAGTTGGGTGTGGCGGTTTGGTGCAAGCTTGGTTGAAGTATGGTGTTTTTTTTGTGTTTGCCAAAATCGTGTACCCACCATCTGACTAATTCGGCAATTCATGCGTTCACCCTTTTGACACAGGAGGCTAACGACATCGGCAGAGCAGCTAACGTAATAATTTGTCTAATCGCGTTGACTAAATCATAGGAATAGGTATGGAATAGGTCTATGAGTACAAGACACAGATGTCTAAGGAATTTGAACAATCGGGTCTATTGGGCAAACTGACAAGCGCGGCACATGCAAACGAGCTGCGAGGCCATGCCCTCCACCAAAAGCTTCAACAGGTCGGGCTCGAGCTTGGATGGCGGATCCTTGAGCGAGGTGTCACGGGACGGCCGTGGCGCCTTTGCCTCAGAATGAGGCAACGGGTCTCCGGGAGACTCGTCCATCTCGTCCTCGTCAGAGTTGCTGCTGACAGCACCACCGTCGTCGGAGGACTGTGGGTCTGGCGGAGCGGCCGCCTTGCGGGGCTTCTTGCGAGAGCTGAGTTGCAAAGACTCGCTGTCCTGCTGGAAACCATCCTGGAAGAGATCATCGTCCTCGTCATCGATGTCGTCATCATCTCCCGGCTGATCCTTCATGGCAGGCCGCTTCGAGCCAGACTTAGAGGCCTCCTGGAACAGTCGCCGGGGCTTCATGTCTGAGGTGTGCTCCTTCTGAGCTCCAGGGGTCAGGTTGCCCTTCCTGCGACTGCGACGTCGCTTGGGAGTGTTGGCAGGGCTCGCCAGACTGACTTTGTCTCCAGCAGGGACTGCGTGGTCTCCTTGACCCTGCTGCCGTGGCTCGACAGCAGCAATGTCCTTCAGATCGCTCTCGGCCTCCTGCAAGCAGGAATGAGGCCCCAAACACACAACGCATCTCTCGCCGACTCCCAGCAACTCAGCTTTTTGCCCGAATGCTCGTGCGAGGATGTCTGCACATGCAAGAGGCCATCTCACCCAAACAGGCCTTCTCCTTCTGCACTTAGCATGTTTAAAGCTTCCTTGCTCATCTCACCAATCCCTGTTCCACTCATGATTGTGCTCCCACTCATAGTCACGATAGTGGTGGCGGCCTTGTCCGCCCCGGGATCGCTTGCAGCCAAACTGCTTTTCCTCGATTTCCCTCTTGGAGGGCCTCAGAGCGATACACAGCCCCTTAAACTGCATAAGTGACAGTCAGTAGTTACCCCAGAAATGAGAAGTGATGCAGCCAGGGAGCTCCTTCTGAGGCGGGGTCTGCGGGGCACTGCTCTGCGGGATCTGGGGCTCCTCGAAGCGGTTGCCCCCGCAAGCTGCTGCAGGCGGCACTTCAGAATGAGCCTGAACGGGTGTGGGCGCGGATGACAGAGTCTTCTCGATCATCGGCTCGCTTGGTGCGGCCGACGCAGGCATCGCTGAGGCCACAGACCTTTGTGCCTGCTCATCAAACCAGCTCTTCGGAGTGAAGCGAGCATAGAACTCCAATTTGCCGCCCAAGATGGACATGGATCCCACTTTCTCTGCCAAGGGTCGCCCATCCGACTGAAATCGTTGCTTCTGAAGCTTCTGGTCCGCCGCAGGGCTGCTGACCGCATGGCCGCCAAGAGTGGTGGTGGCATCCGGCTTCTGCGGAGACACCCTATACTTCGGCGTCGGAGACATGATCTTCTTGTCAGCCTTTGCAGCAACTGTCGGAGTCCCTGACTCAACCGCCTCATCATCATCATCAACCTCCTGCTGCCCCTGAGGCTGCTCGGGCTTTCGAGCTCTGTCCTGCTCCAGATCATGCTGCTCCCGCAGCTGCCTCAGAAGATCGGCTCTCTGAGCCTCCGAGAGCTGCAAAGACGGAGCAGTCATCGGAGGAGCCTTCGGAAGAGGCATTGGCATCGGCCCAGTCGTGGGAAGAGGAGGGACGGGAGGAAGCATCCACGAAGGGAAGGACCATGGGTTGAACATGGCCGCGGACCAACTAGGGCTCAGAAAAGGCACTCGGGCAAGAGAAAACCTCGGAAGGCCAAGACAGAGCATGAACAGAAGCTCAGACTCAACTGCTCCGACCTGCAACCAGGCAGACATGGAGTACAGGCACCCCTCATTCTAGCTTGTCGGATTTTCTCTCCACGCTTGCAGCAACATCACATAATTGTCCTGCTTGGTGCGGCATCGACAAAACACCAGGCACCGAAGCGGAAACGAAGCTACCAGAAGCAGATGACACGGGAGTTGGCATTGAAAGGCTTGCTCTAAGCACTCCTTCACAGAACTGGGCCAAGGACTCCTTTTGCAGCTAACAGAAAAGCCAACTTCGTGCCAGTCTGCCTCAGTGTTTCCCGCGACCCTTCGAGCCGTTCTTCCAAGCTGCATGGCACTGGGCACAGTTGTGATGGTGAGCATCGAAGCCATTCTCATCATAGCAGCAGGAGCTGCGACTGCACCAGTTCCCAAGATTGCAGCTTCTGCAAATCGCCTTGACCTGTTGGCGACTGCGAAGAAACTGAGCCTCCCTCTGTGCGAGCTGCGCTTCCTTGGCTCTGAGCCGTTCCTCTCTCTGAATCAAGAGGCGCTCGCGTTCCAAGAGGAGCTTCTCCTTCTCAAAGAGTTCCCTCTCCTTGGGCTGAATCTCTTTCTCCAGCATGAACTTCACCTTTCCCATGATCTCTTCCGTGGCCGTCGCTGCATCGCCCAAGGCAAGATGCTCGGAAGCCATGGCTTGCAAAGGCGAAGGAAGAGGGTTCTCTAAAGGGTCTGAAGAGGAAGCACTGCAGACAACGGCGCTTCACCAATGTAGCTGCATTGACATGTCACACACCTGTCTGCAACGAAGGACCGACAGCAGCAGAAGTGAAAGTACACTCTGCACATCACAGTCCTGTGCGAGCTTGCTCAAAAGCTCGTCGTACTTCTTGCTGAGTTCTTCCTTGCTTAGCTCCTGCAGCCTGCAGGAACATAGAGAAAGACAATGCAGGGAAGACAGGGCAAGTTTGCCTGGGAATCTGCAACCAGGCCTTCTGTGCTTCATCATCAGGCTCTTGAGCAGAGTAGATACATCATCCAGAGTCTTGCAGCTGGATATGCTCACTTGCGCTTGGCTCTTCCCAGTAACTCGGTTCAACAGAGCGAGAGCAATCAAAGGAGAGAGAGAAAGAGAGGAGAGACAACGAGAGAGAGAGAGAGAGAGAGAGAGAGAGAGAGAGAAAAAGAACGGAGCCATGCAAGAGACATGGGTAGGCTGGCCCACAGCAGTTGCCGGGAAAGCCGAGGCACAGAGGGTCAGCATCTGGTTCAACCTCTTCCGCCAGAGGCTCTGGGCGGCTTTCATCTGCAAAAGCAAAGGGATTTGTTTCAGTATCTGTGCAATCTGCCCTGCGGACTGCAAAGATGAAGGTCACAGTGAATCTGCCCCCTCGTACCGGAAATTGGAAACTTGCCTTCTTTAGGGAGGCATTTTCGCCTTGCTTGTCCTTCTGCTTCCTCGATCTCTTCAGAGCGTCGCTGAGCAAGGACTCCTAAGCAGTGGCTTCACATAGGGTGTGTGGCCCTAGAACCTTTGCCAAAGCTGTCGTGCAACAAAACTGAGAAATAAAGATCCCCGAACAAATCAGCATGCACTCTGCAGTCACTCCGAACAAGGCACACTCTCGCCACCGACCTGCAAGACGTCACTGGCCACCACATACTTCGTCAGGCCAGACAAAGTATATGCGAGCTGCTGGCAGCTCAAGTCCTCGATCTTCGTCTGGTCCATGGACCTCACCAGCTCTTTGTTCAGCAACCGGAAGAGGTGCTGCTTGTCCTGCCCAACATCCGCGCTCTCCGCAGTCGAGCTCTCGCCATCGGAATCCGATGACTGGCCTGTGGTCGGCACGGATGCAGGACAAGAGCTCAGACACTCCAAGCCTGAGACAACCCCCCATTCCCACGTCACAGGAGCACGGTCCTTTCTTGCTGGACTTCTCCTTTTTCTTGTTCTTCTTGTCACTCTTCGCGCCCTTGTCGGGTCCTGCACAGATGCATATGGGGTCCGAGAAGCTCTGGCAGGCTCTTTGAAGAAACCTGGCTCCTGACAACGCTTGAGCCAGCGACTTTTGTGCCGTGCTCAGCAGGAAGCTCTGCGCACTCGTCGGCGGGCTAGAGTCGGCCCCTTCCGAGGGCAGACTGCGGACGGACGCCGTCCTGGACACCGAGTCAAGACAAAGTAAAACCCTCAATATGAAAGGCTCAACGAAAGAAAGAAAGAGTACTGCTCCCGCTGCCTACAGTTCGGCTACTGATTCGGCAGCTAGTCCGCCAAGTCGCGAACTATCCGCGATTTCTCACCAGTCGCGGGCAATCCGCGTACTCTTCAAATTAGACAGCAAACCTGAAACAGAGGACTACATCGCGATATATCCGCGGATCTTCTAACTTCAGACCAAAGTCGCGGCTAGTCCGCGAGACTTAACTAATTCGCGGCTAATCCGCGAAACTCACAAGTAACCCTGTCTAAAGGCTTCGCGGCTAGTCCGCGATTCCATAGTCAATTTATGTATGCAGATAAAGAACCCGAAACGGCAAGACTAACTAATTCGCGGCTAGTCCGCGAAACTCGCAAATAACCTTGTCTACGGGTTTCGCGGCTAGTCCGCGATTCCGTTTTCAATTACGTATGTAGAGAAAGAACCCGAAAATAGTGTCATTCAAAACAGTCGCTTACAGTCCTGCTGTTGCCGCCTTGCTGCTTCTCAACAGATGCTGGCCAGTCTCTAATCTTTGTGACTGTGAATGGTCACTGCATACATGACGAATAAATCAACATTGAGCCCGCCTTCGGATTTCCTACTCCAATTCCAGCAACTCCAAACAATACTAGGGGTTCGAAGCAGTAGCAAGCCACATGGTCCCAAACCAAAAACTAGTAGCAAAGGTGAGAGTCCCGTCACAAGAGCCTGTCAGAAACTAAAAACGATAGCCTTGAAGTGAGCATGCTTCCCATACTGTCCTCTTCACCCTGCCAGTCACCATGATGGCAAGGAGAAGGGGCTCTCCAATCTCAATGTGGGCCCAAGGAGCTGCAGGCATGGAGAATCTCCAATCCAAGGCACTCCGCAAAAGAGACAGGCCCTAAGGGGCTCCAGCTCGGCAACTCCGACTTGCGTCCTGCAAACCAACCTTAACCTCGCCAACCCAGGTGATCAAAGTGCTAACTACTGACACAAACTCCAAAATCAGGACATCCAGGAATCCATGAAGACTTCCCGCATCTCTCGGAGAGTAGTGGCGAGAGGGCCAAGGCATGGAACTGTCACCTTTTCATGATCGTCCGGCTAAGTCCAAGAAGCTTGTGCCTTGATGCACGAATTTGATGATAACTAAGACAAAAGTCGCTCGGGCCACCATCTGGTTTAATTACCAATTGAGAATGTCGGAACGACATCGCACAAAGCCATGCCTCAGCAGTACAATGAAGCACATGGGTGCCTTCTATCTCAACTTCGGTATAGCTGTGACTTCGAAGACAAAGCTGAAGTGCTGTCATGGTATGACCAAGAACAGCTCCCAGAAAATGAAGCCAGTCAGAAATCCCGGCATCAGGGTTTAGGATTAGCGGTATTACGTGGTACACCAGTTTCACTAAGATTAACGGCCACAAAAAGCGTCGGAACCACACCAACAAGCACTGCTTTGTTGTTGTGAGAGAGACAAAAAGTGTACAGGGAGGGAGGGAGGGAGGGAGG